AACTTAGATCTTAATATCGAAACTGAGCCCATGTTAACTGAAAAGTTTTATTTATATTGAAAATTAATTTAATGAACTGATAAATAAAATATAGTTTAATTATTTTGTTAAACTATCGCCCCTTTAACTCAACATTGCGAAAATTGAAGCTTGAACGGGACGAATTCGTTCCTCCCAACTCTTGTTTTTTTAGCAAAAACTATCACATTTCGTTTTCGTCCTGTTACTGAGAAAAGGAAAAAAAATTCTTACCAGCTACATTAATTTACATTGGCCTAATAATGCATCCAAATTTATAAAATTCGAACACCTATGTAAAAAATAAACAGGCTATATACATATGCTCATTTTATTTGAATCATCAAAAAACAATTATTTTACTTCGACATTATATTATTTTCACCAACTCACCCAAATTTACCAAATCAAAACTAACGAAAAAATTCCGAATATATTGTTTGACACATTCATACGTATTTAGGTGTTAACAGTGTCGCTAAAACAACATTAAATGATTTCCGCCGTAATTTAACTAACATTTCAATATTTATTAACACTAATTCACACAATTAATAGGATGAATCTATTATTTTGTTAACATTATTACTATTACGTTAATTAATAGAAATTAATTTCTTACAAAAATTACCTTAAGATATGAATTCACATGTTGTGATATTAATTTTAAATCCTGTACCAAACCGTTTACATTGTCATATCCTCCAATTTGCGCCTTCATGATTATAGATCGTAAGTCTAAAAACTTGGGAGATTTCATCATAAAATCCGGAAACTAAAATAATATTTATTTAAAATTTAGTTTTCTTGGTATTTAGCACATGATCTTACATAATTTTTCATGAATCTTCCTTCCAGAAATAAGTTTCCTTCTGGGATGCTTTGAATTTTCTCTAGCAATATTTCCAATTTATTTTTAGTATCATTAACTTTTAATTTGACAGATGAAACAAAAGGACCCGGAAATTTGTGTATATTTGTTTCCAACATCTTAATATCATATGGTTCAAAACTACTTGTTGTTTTTTCATTGCCGACAATATTAATCGATTCAAGTAATTTAGTATCTATTTCTTTATTTACATAACTCGTATCAATGCACGAAAATTCAAAATTATCCTTTTTTTCATTATTAGGAGTTTTGTAAACATTATTAAAAGAATTTATAAAAGGATAACTGCTATCTATTTTAGATATGGATAATGAATTTACTGTAGGTAATTGATTAGTCCACCCCAAAGCGTCCGGTGAAATTGAGGTTTCACCGTTCATTTTGAAACCGTTTTCGAAATTGGACACAACTGGCCCAGTTTCAAATATATCGAAAGGTTCAATAGTCTTAGAAAAATAATCTTGATCATCATCTTCATTGTTTGACTGTTTTAATATTGGATTATAAACTCCAGTTTTAATGTACACTCCACTATCAATTGTTTTTCGCTGCTTTTGTCTTGAATCTTCTACCAACGATGAATAGTGACTTTCGTTTACCGTTTTGGCAGCAATATCTACAAAAAATAATATTTTACTCAAGATTGAAAATTTCCTTAAGTTTTTTTGCAATCACCTAAATCTTTAACTACGTTCAACTTTAAATGTTCTAGCGACATTGTGGATTTTCCATTTAATTCGATGTTTATATTATTGATTGATGTTTTTACTGGAGTATTAAAGCTATTAGTTTTTACTCCATTTTCAACCTTTTTAGCAATATTTTGATTTTGAACGAGTTGATCTAAATTAACGAAAGATTTGATTAAATTTTCAACAAAATTCACAGTCGCGTCTTGCCAAACTGCAAAGCTTCCTATAAAGTCTGAACTGAATTCTGCCTTTATTTTATTTAATCCCTCTGGAGTGTTATAAATGTAGCCTTTGACAATAATCCAAGCATTTATAATTCTTGTAAAAACAAATATCAAATCTTTTACAGCCCATGCTATTCCTTGGGAGTTGATATTAGGTAAAACACCATCTGGACGAATTAAGTCTTGTTTCATTCTGGCGCAAAGACTATCAATTTTCTTAAAGCATGGTCGATTCCGATGAGTATACGCAATTCTTTCAGCAGTTTCGCTTCCACGCATCGCCAAAAGAGTCAATTCTCCTGATTGTTTCTCGTTCAGTGTTGAACTCGAAGTACTATTTTCATTCTCTTTCACATTTACAAAACTTGTATTAATAGATGGTTTTCCATTTTTGGAAGGAACCACATTGGAATCTGGTAATTTGTAACTGCAAATATTAGAACATGAGCTGTAGAATAACAAGAATTGTCAATATCTTTCATTTTTAGAATTTTAAGTTGAATAAAAGCGATGTGTGTAGTACAACATACAAAATTTTTCTTCAACTTCTTTATACTATGTTCAAACATTCATAGATGATATGCCATACGAACAGACTCGCCTATATAAATGGCGATTAGTTTTTATTTGGGCTAATATTTTTTACCTAATAAAAATCGGCAATCAAGACTGTATCATCTATGTATCCTATATTTAATAACCACTCGCTAAGTATTGAAAGCGCAAATATCAAAATTCCATATTGTGGGAATTACAAAAAACATGGAATTCTCCCACAAGAATATTTAATTCTTCGTACGTTAACATCTGAACGCATTTGCATACTACTTACATACATATGTAGGCGATTATGTATACATATTATAATTAAATCTTTACCTGTATTCTTGTGTTTGAGGTGCAAACTGTGCTGGATAATATGGTACTTGAGGGTAAAAACCTGGTGCTGGTGCTGGGGCTAATAACCCTGTTTGTTGCATACAAAATGGCGAAATAAACTGAGGGTACGGCCAATATGACATTCCTACTTTTTGTTTTTTTTTTATAAAATTATAATTTTATTAGGTCTCTATTAAAAAAAAAAAAAACTTCAACTGATATTTAAATTTGGCCTACCTTCCGAAAACATTCGATTTATATTTTCAAAATTCATAACAACGGAATCCTTAGATTTATTTTTAAAATTTTGATATTCATCATGAATATCAAAACTTTTATTATCGGAAATTTGTGGTTTATTAACAGGTACATGCTCTGAATACATTCTTTCGTTATCTGGATAATTCACAAACGTCTGTTCTGTCTCGTTTTCTAGCTTTATATTGTTAAAGCCTAAAATTTGGCGAGCTTCAAAAAAAATGGTATGAAAATATATTTCACGCATGTTCCTTATGAAAAAAGAAAATAGCTTACGTTTCTTTTCATTAGACATCCTGTACAAAGTTATATGTACATACATATATAAACCTGTGCTAAATATTTGAATTCTTTTTTAAAAAAGAATATTGAAAAACTTTTTTGCAGGCAGGCAGGTACAGTATAAAATAATATTGCAATTGTTTTAAAGAAAATTTACTTGCATACAAAGTTAAAAAAACTGCGTTCCTATAGTTACCATTATTTTTAACTACTAGATGTTAAAATGTGAATACCGAAAAACCGTCAATAATTTTTTTATTTCGCCAAAAGAACGAAGAAACTTATTTTGAATTTTAAATTAACCAACTGGGAAAATTTGATTCCAACATAGCACAAACCACATTACTACCAACACAAAACAATTACCAGTTTTGCCAAAAGTTAATTAGAAAATAAGAATCATTAATTCTCACTACGTTTATATGAAGCTTGAAGCCGATTCGAAGTGAATTTCGAATTCATATAACGCTACTTGACTTGAAATTTTCAACTCTAATCAATCCGACAAAATTATTAGCTTAACTTGAAAATCAACTGGATATACGTCGATTGAAAAATTTAAAATAACAACTTAATATACAATGCTTGTCAACTATAATGTCAAACTCAAATCTATTTCAAGTAGTATTATTTCAATCTGTAAAGTAACGTGTATACGCAGATTGAAATTTTGAGGCAAGTACTCGATTCGCAATATAAACAAATTATCCATAGGTACTGGTCTCACAGAATAAATTTTTAGTTTTGTAGTTCTGTCATGTTTCAAATTTTTAGTTGTCAATTGTTGGCTTTTTCCATATTTTATTGGATATTACTTCATTTAACATAAATAGCTTTTTGATTTAATAAACAAACAAAATGTGCCACATGTGAGAGATTTTTTCGGGAGGCGATAAACATATTTATACTAATGTGATGAGATAGAATTTTCTTGATTACAAACAATATACATATGTGTACATAAATAAAACCCATCCCAATAAGAAAAAAGCTTAATAGTATCAGAATTATTATAAATGAACAAAAATCTTGGTCTGTTCTCGTCATACCCCTTTGTTTTATTATGAAGAGATTTGTGGTTTTTTTCTGGAAATCGAGTGAAATTAAAATCAAATTAGAATGAAATTTATATTTTAGACAGAAAATTAATAAGTCGGTTTCCGAACATACTACTTTTTACTAAAATGTAGTTTATCACACTATTTGTTTCAATTCACAGATGATCGCACACTGTAATAAAATAAATAACAAATTGAAATAATTAAAAGTGCTAGAGAAATATTTAAAAAAAGTGCATATTTAAAAAAAGATGAGTAATTTAATAGATCATAATATTCTAAGAAGAAATATGGTAACTAAATATCATTTAAAACAACATCCTGAATGACTGGAACAAGCGAGCATGAAAATTATTTCTTATTATTACTCATTATTATTACAACTTTTATTTTTCCTTTAAGATATAATAAAAACATTGCGTTCTGAATATTCTTATACGAATTAAAAAACTACGAAACAAACAATAAGAAAATTCTAATTGAATATTCGGAATGGATTAACGAAAACGACAACCTAGAACAGCATCAAGTAACGATTTTGTGTTTAATTACAGCTCCTTCTGAAAATCCCAAGTTCAAATATTATTTAAAGTACATTTTTTTTCCAAAAAGCACCAAAACAGCTGTTAGAGGAATTGCGATTGATTACAATAATATTTGGTACAAGTACTAAAACTATTCGTGGAACCTCAGTTAAAAAAAATAATCAATAAATTAAAATTTGTTTTTCATTGTTTTTTTCTCCAATTTAAAACTAAACAATAAAAACTATATTTCGTAAAAAAAATAGCTATCAAAATGGCTGAAATTTCGGTTCCAAACAATACAAATGATAAACTAACGAATCTAATAAAAGAAGCAGAATCTTTGAAAACGAAATTGGAAGAAGAACGCCAAAAATTAAATGATATGAATCGTATGTGTGGGTTTTTCTCAAGAAAAATAATTAAATTTTCTCACTTAAATTTTAGTCACAACTGTTGCTGAAAGGCTAGAAATGATAACGTACATTAACATTAAGCCAAGAAGAGTTTTAAAAGGTCATCAAGCCAAAGTACTGTGCTCAGATTGGTCACCAGATAAACGTCATATTGTTTCATCTTCTCAAGGTACATATAAACAATTTAATATTATTTAGGCATTATATGAACAGAATGAGATAATTTACTCAATAATTTTATTTGAATGAGGTATTTAAATTATTTGAATCAAATTTAATTTTTAGACGGCAAACTTATAATTTGGGATGCATTTACTTGCAATAAAGAGCATGCTATAACAATGCCAACAACATGGGTAATGTCATGTGCTTATGCTCCATCAGGGAATTTGGTTGCGTGCGGGTACGTTGCGTTTAATATGCATTTATTAATATAGTGTAACATTTCATTTTGTATTTAGAGGCTTGGACAATAAAGTAACAGTTTATCCAATATTAAATGATGAGGATATGTCAACAAAAAAGCGAACTGTTGGAACACACACGAGCTATATGTCTTGTTGCATATTTCCGAATTCTGATCAGCAAATATTAACTGGTAGTGGTGATTCTACATGCGCTTTATGGGATGTAGAATCGGGCCAACTTTTACAGAGTTTCCACGGTCATACTGGGGATGTTATGTCTATTGACTTAGCACCTAACGAGACTGGAAATACTTTTGTTTCTGGGGTATTTTTGCTTTAATTTTCCCATAGATAATTAATATATACTAAAAAATTCCCACAGAGCTGTGACAAAATGGCTTTTATTTGGGATATGCGTTCTGGGCAAGTTGTTCAATCATTTGAAGGGCATCAATCTGATGTGAATAGTGTTAAATTTCACCCTTCAGGTGATGCTATCGCTACAGGTTCTGACGATAGTACTGTAAGTAATAACTTAGTGATCTAGAATAGATTTTTTTAAATAGTTTAAATATTTTCTTCCGATTTTAACTTTTTTTAGTGTCGTCTATTTGATATGAGGGCAGACAAAGAAATTGCTATTTATGCAAAAGAAAGTATAATATTTGGTGTGAATTCTGTAGATTTTTCAGTCAGTGGTCGTCTATTATTCGCTGGTTACAACGATTACACTGTTAATATATGGGATTCATTAAAATCACAAAGGCATAACCCTACTTTTAAAATCAAAATCAAATATAGAATAATATTTCAATTTTAGAGTTTGTCTATTATATGGTCATGAAAACAAAGTTTCTTGTGTTCAAGTTTCCCCAGATGGAACAGCGTTATCAACTGGTAGTTGGGATTATACAATCAGAGTACAACTTTTTATATATTTAAATATTTTTCTAAATTATTAGTATCACGTTATTTTGTAATACAGGTCTGGGCTTAAACTTACTATAATAAGCATAAAAAGGAATAAACAAAATTACGCGCACAAATACTTCAAAAAAATATTAAATATAAATAAGTTACAATCCGGTTTATGGAAAAAAGGATTAAAAGTTATTAAAAATTGGTATAACTTTGAAACTGGATAACAAGATTGATCTTTATTTACATACGAAATCTAATAGAATTGAACTTAAAACTTAATAATTCCTATAAGTATAAATTGATGTCGTCTAGTCTTTTTTAAATTTATGTATTAGTTTTAAGATTTTTATTTTGTGATATCTTTTTGTTGGTTTAGTGTAAAGTAAACTTATATGATTGTATAGTTAAAGTGATAACAGAAAATCAAGTACATATATTAAATGTTACTAATTGCATTTCTCATATGCATTAAAAATTGTTTATTTGTCGATGGTTATTTATTTTCGTTGAATTTAACATAATGTTGTACAAAAAATGAAAACAAAATATTTTGTTATCATTAAAGTATAATAAACAACTAAATTTAAAAGTTCAGAAACTAAATTTTATTCATTTGAAACACATTATTTTCGTTTATGAATATGACCTTAATAAAATCCAAAAAATTTTTAACTCTTATTTAGAAAAAAAAATATGTACGTAAATAGTAATTTTATAAAATCTAAATAATAGAACTTAATGCAAATCGACTAATTTTCATTCTTAATTCTAAGGATCTTACAATTAAAATACAACAGTACATAACTAACTTTAGTAAATACTTTATAAGGAATGAATAATGCAGAAACAAAATATAAATATAATACAAAAAGGAATTTCAAGAATTAAATATCTTCTTTTTTCTTCTTAATTTTCTTGAAGTTCTCCTTTTTGTCTTTAATTTCGATATCGCCATTTAATTTGCGCTTTTTATTATAATCTTTCAATTTATTTGAATATACTTTATCCGTTTCTTTTATTTGTTCAGACTGTATTGTCCATTCTATGTTTTTTGAAACCATTTTTGTAGGATCATCCTCAACGTTATAATCAGGAATCTCAATCCCTAACCTCTTACAAACTTTACTCATTATAACGTCCACATATCCAGATATAATTAAATCAGCTTTTTTATCATGTTTTGTTGGTTGCAAATTACAAATTATTAATTTGCCACCAAACTTTTTGTTCTTCAACGGTAAATTACCACTGGGAACTAAAAAATATATCCTAAATATGTTGTACTAATTCTCTAAAATTATTTATATTAATCCAAAACGTACCGATCTGTAATGTGGTTCCAAGACAAACATTTAAATCGGCTAAACTTGAATTTAAAAATGACAATTCTAAATCTCGATCTGGTAAATCAGCCTCCCAATCTAATATGTTGTCTATCAACTGACCACCACGGCAAGCTCTTGAATTTCCCCCACCTGAATTAAATTAGAACGATGTAAAATGTAATTAATTAAAGCATGAAAATAATTCAGTACCTCGACATAAACCGCCTATATATTTCTGTCCCACAGACGTAGTGCATTTGTTTCTTACATATTGCTTTTTACATTTGTTACATTGTTCTATAAACTAAAAAAAAAATTAAACTAAATAAAAAAAGATATTAGTTCTGCACAATTTTGATGCTATACCATATTTCCATGAAGCTCAGCTAAAAATTTTCTTTGTAGCCCAGATTTTAAATGTAAACCATCAATGTTTTGACTAACAACATAATGAATGTAACCTTTTTCAACTAAAGCTTTAATAGCCATATGAGTTTTAGAAGGTATTGCATCATCAAAAGAAACGTTAATATTTGGTTTTTCTCCTTTTTGCTCAAGAGTCCACACTCCTTTAGGTCCGCGAAAATCTGGTATTCCTACTGATGTGCTAAATATAAAAACAACTTCAAATTGGTTTTGTTCGAATATTTTGCAATATATTAAATTTGAAATATACCTGATTCCCGCTCCAGTGTGGAAAACAACATGTTTTGATCTAAAATTAAGTATTTTTAAAATAAAATTTTTTTTTGCAAAAATACTAAAAATAAGTACGTTTCAAGTAAGCTGACTAACGATTCACATTTATCGTTTAAAACTTTTTCATCATCGAATTTTTCCGGCAAGCCAAGAATTCCTTTATTTTCGTAAGGAGATAATCCTTCGGCATAATTGCAAGACATTTAAACAAATCACTTAATAGAATTTCAAGCCTAAATTGATATTGATTGTTGATAATAACAATAATAAAATAATAAAGAAAGATCTGATATTGACAGCTAAAATACTTTTGCAGACTGCATAATTATATGAAAAAATATCTGTTTAAAATGCAAAGTGAAACATGTCATAATATAATGTACACAACGAATTAGTCCATTTTACAAAACTAATTTTGATTACTAAAATTTGTGGGTTGCAATTGTCACCACCGTTTGATTGACAATGATAATTGAGATTGTGGGGATTGGCCATCAAACATAAGCTGAAACTTTTTTAAAGCAAAAACTAAAAAATAATTCAAAATATTTTTTTATTTTAGATATCTGTAAAAAAAAAACAAATTTAAACAAAACTCTTTTATTTTTTTTCTCTTTGAATAAATTTATTTTATAAATTGCAAATAACTATAAGTATTTTAATATCACAATATTTTATTTCCATCGAAAATGAACATATTTTGTTAAAAAATTTCTTATATTATCAGTTTTGTTTGACAATTTTACTGAACAACTCTAAATAATATTAATAACAATAAATATAAGTACATATAAATTTTAATAACTCTAAAACAATATAGTTTTTAACCAATTTTTATTAATATGATGGTTATTGCTCATTGAGGTAGATTGATATGTTGTCGTTTTCTTCCTTATTCATTAATTAAGGTTCACATACTAATTCGTTCTAAAACAAAATATTTTAGAATATAAATTTATTATTAAATATTCTATGATTTTTTATTTAGAAATTGCACTAATTTTATAAATAAAATGACAAAATCTCCTTTGTTTACTTTTTTTACAGCGGCGCGTAGTTTTTTCAGAAAAAAAAAACAACACTTGACATTTAATGTTAATTTCATTTTGACAAATGACAATGCTTAGAGCAAAGAAATTTTACCTGAAGTTTTTGGCTTCACTATGTTTTTTTTTTCAAGATACGATATTTTAGGGATTGTAAGTGAAATAGAAACAAAGATGCTCCTTCATTTAGTATTTCTAATTCGTTGTTTAAACCCATGTCTATTTAGTCAAAATATAAAATTGGATATAAAATGTTTGTCAACAGTAATTTATGTACATATATATACTAATTTTAACAGAAGTAAAAAAAATATTGATGACATGTAAAGATTTCCAACTTCATTTTGTGGGGATTTGTAAAAAAATAAACATGAAAAAAATTGTTGTACTGTTGGTATGAGAAAACTTTGTTAAAATTCTGAAGAAAAAGAACATATACACAAGGAACGTGGAAGAATTATTTAAATCAATAATGAGTTAAGATTTTCTATAAAAAATGTTCATTGAAATTTTTTGCAGATCACTAGTGTTAGGACCAGGTATTTTTTAGTTTATTAAGAACTCGTATAAAAATGCTATTTGTGGCCTTTAATGATGTGTCATTAATTCTCATTTCAGGTCTGTACTTTTGTCATATCAAGACACGTATATAATATGTACAATTTTTTTAAACAATGTTTTTAGTAGTATAGGTTTGAAAGAAGTTTATTAATTGATAAATTTAAAATTAAAAACAAAGAGATTTAAGTTGCAAGAAATAAAGGCCTTTATTTATCTTATATACAACATCGAATTTCCGGCAATTTGACATGACTAAATATACATAAATACTAACCGGTACTAAAAGATAAATTAAAATAAATTTTTGCGGAGAAAATTGGAATAATCTGCTCATATAAATATAATTTATCGTAAACTCATAAATTTTTTTAAAATTAAAAAGCTTATCTTTCATTGCAGGTTTTATTGAAAGACTGATCATTTGTTTATGAATAGTAACTTATACAGATAAGTTTTAATACAATTATCCAAAATGAAAGCTTTTTACATAGGAATTATTTTTGTGATTTTATCACTTAAACACATACTAGTCAGTAGCACGAAATCATCAGTCTCATCCACATCGTTTTGCACAAAAGAAGATCATTCTTGTAAAAACGCTATACCTATTAATAAAATGAATCAAGCTCGTTATGATTTTTATCGCATTTATTATGTTCATCTGGACACAGAAGAACAAGTAAAAGTTTTCCAAGATTTAGAAGCAAAAAGTGATAGTCATACCTTCTATGGACACGCAAGGCATACAGATCAAAAGCTTACAATTATGGTAGCAGCACATAAAATTGCTGACTTTGTTGATTTGTTGGAATTGTATAAAGTAGAGCACCGTGTTCTGGTATGTTGTAACATATTAAAGTGTGTCAACTATAATATGCATTTTTTTTTAGACCTATAATTTCCAAGAAAAAATTGATCGTCAAAATCTTGATGTGCAACCGAAAAATATATCGCCAAATCGATTTGATTGGGATCATTATTTTCATTTAGAAACTATATATGATTGGCTAGCTTTGCAAGCAAAAGATCACAAATTAGAATTGATAGAGATGGGAAACAGTCATGAAGGGATTCCAATTAAGGGAATAAAATTTATAAGTAATCCTAGTAATCCAACAGTTTTCATTGAAAGTGGAATACACGCTCGGGAATGGATTGCTCCTGCTACTGCAACATTTCTTCTTAACGAACTGCTAACATCTACAGACAATAAAATTAAGAAATATGCACAAAAACTTAATTGGGTAATTTTTCCTGTAGTAAATCCAGACGGTTATAAATATACATTTGAAAAAGACCGTATGTGGCGTAAAAATCGCCGCTTCTTTGGTTTATGCCGAGGAGTAGATCTAAACAGAAATTTTCCTTTCCATTGGAATGAAACTGGTTCGAGCGACGATCAATGTGCTTATGATTATGCTGGACCTGAAGGAGCCAGTGAAGATGAAACTAAATGTATCATTAAATTTATTGAAGATAATATTAGTAAATTGAATATTAAAACATATATCGCGCTACATTCATTTTCACAATTAATAATGTTTCCTTACGGATTTACACCTGAAAAAGTTGAAAACTATAACGATTTGAAAGCTATTGGAGATAAGGCGGTTGAATCTATTAAAGAAGTAACTGGAAAAGTATATAAAAGTGGGAGTCTCTATGAAACCATATATCCCTCAAGGTAAGGTTACAATTTACAAAATTGCTAACTTATGATTTTCAATAAAAAGGGATTTATGTTGTATTATTCAAAATTTTTAGCGGCGGAAGCAAAGACTGGTCTCATGCTATTGGTAAAATTCCAATAACTTACACGTTTGAATTAAGAGGTGCCCCAGATAGCGAAGATCTATTCATTTTGCCAGCTAGTGAAATTCGAGATACTGGTAAAGAAGCTGTTGCTGCTATTATGACTATCGTAGAGGAAGCTGATAAAAGAGGATACTATAACAATTAATTTTTTATGATAAAGAAATCTAGAAAAAATGGGTTTTATAAAATAAGTACTCGTTTCTTTGTCGTAAATCAAATTATTTTTATTACAAAAAGTAAAATGTAAAGGTGCCACATATAAAAAATGTTATCACAATAAACTTTTTTGTTATTCTTAATTTAAGTTATCATTATTTAATTAAATTATTTTCCCCACTCTACACCGCTTAAAATAAACAACTTTTTTATATGTATGTATTTACTTACCTTTTACTCGCTTTTACATAAATAGATTGCAAAATTCTGTTTTTTTTTAGAATTAATCAAGACTTGATATTCTTAAAGTTCTTATAGTGAGTTCCAGTTAAATATTGCATTAGGCTTCAGACTATACTTCTAAAAAATTTTAATATACATATAATATATACGCAAATATAAATTCATATCAAAGCTTTACCCACTGAAATATTTAAAAGAAAACTAGATATACGATTTTCTTTTAATCACCTGTTGAATTAAATATTTTCTATAATTTGTGAAAGTATGTTTTGAATTTTTATAATTCACATGAATTTTAAAACTTTTTTCATTTCAATTTTTCTTTAAATATTTATACTCATGTATACATCCTTTATACAAAGCAATTATTTTGAGTTTATTACTTAACTGAAAATTTAGAAATACCAAAAATACATATTTTACATATAAAATATCTTTATTTCATTAAAGATATTTTACATATAAAATATCTTTATTTCATTAAAGATATTTTATATATCTTTGCAATAAAGTTTATATTTTTAAAAGCATATAAAGATACACGATAAACTTAATAAGTAAATTATAAGTATTTTTTTTGAATAAGTAGCTCGTTAAGGCCTTTGCGATTTTATAACTATGAAATTTGCATTCCCGCAACTTGATAAATAATTTTTATATAAACATTAATTTGAACCGCGATCAGAGAGTTTTAAATTGTCAGGAATACAAAAATTTTTATTAGAAATTATGATATTTTTCCGAAATTTAAAAATTTTTTTTTTAAGATGTGTTGAAAGAAAACATCCTTTTCTTTGGAATAAAACCCTTTTATATTTGTTTCGAAGAAAATCAGCTTTGATTGAATGCGATCTAGCGCACGAAATATATTAGCAAGAATAAAACTGTTTTATTAGTTTTGAAAAAAGGAGCTTTCTGTAAATACATCTAAAACAAATTGTGCAGAAGTTAACCAAGTCAAATAGTAAATTTTGAAAATTAATATAATTATTAACGTCGATCAAGTAATTGAGTTAAAAAATTTAATACATAAAAGGAGTTTAATAAAACCTACTAAATTCTTCTTTATAATTTTTATCAATTTCTATCGTTATTATTATTCTTATCTAGTAAAAAATGCAAATTCATAATTCAAATTTATCTTCATTACTATTTTTGAGATTAATATTTCATACGGGGAATACAAAATTCTATGGAAAAATTCAAATTTCTTATATTTTTTGATATTTTAATTCATGAGATATGAAGTACTGTAATTTCTATCAATATTTTAATAATTAACTTAAAAAAATGTGTTGACCAAATTTTTCGATTAAATATTTGCAGAAAGATTCAAAATAATTAAGTAAGTCACATCAATTATTTAATAATAAAGTATGAATGTATGAATAAATAAAGTTAAAGTAAGGATTTTATTAACCATTAAAACAATAAATAAAATTTTTTATTTTTCGAATTTTTTATTCCATTTTAAAAATGTACACATGTTTAAAGAAAAAAAAATTAATTAATTGAGTACAAAAATTAACTAAACAGTTAAATAAAAAAAAAATAACTCTTTACATTTTTATTTAAATAAAATAATAATGAAATTAAATAGTTCCTATATTTCATTTGTGTTTTTATCTTTATAATGATTAAAAACTAAACTAATTTAATTTTAACCTATTTTTTACGTTTATTAAATATCAAAAATTTATTTAATTTTTTTTTTCTTCTCATCCATAAAACGGATAAAAGCAAAGCTTCTTTAAATTTAAAAAAATCATGTAATTTTTTTCTTCTCCTTCTTTTCTATTTTCCTCTTCTTATTTATATTTTTAAAATAAATACATAAATGACTAACTAGAATATTATTTAAGTATATAATATATATATATATATATATATATATACAGGTCTTCATATATATACATATATGTAAATATGTATATATATACGTATAATATAATTTTTTTATGAAATTAAAATGTCATAACATTAATTTCATTTAGTTTAAAGTTTAAAAAACTATAAGTAAAAGAAGAAAAACAATTTTGAATGTTAATATAAATGAAAAAAAAAAATCAAAATTTCCAGTAATTTATTTACATTTTATGGATTAATCATAATATGTATGCATAATTAATTTGTAGTTGCTGAAATTTTATTTACACATTATCCATATTCTCTTAGGAGCATCTCACTTGTGATTATGGGATTCATAAGCATTGAGATTTTTATTATTATAAATTAGGAATTTCGAAACAGTTTTTTATTGAAATTTCGAAATTGATTTAATTTAAACTTCGAATTCAATTTTATTCCAAAAAATTAACAAAATTTTTGGATGACATCCCATTACCTCAAGCTTTAGGCGTCCCAAATGATAAATATGATGATATTTTAATTTTTTTTTCAATTCTTAAATTTTGTTTCTTTCTTCAAACTTATCTTTTAAACTGACTTTTCTTTTTTTAAATTATTATGTTGTATATTTATCTTTTGATTCATTTTGTTTTTACTTCAAATTTTGAAAATTTTAATTTATTTATTTTGGTTTTTGTTTTTTTTTTTAATAAGAATACATTAATTAGTTTACTTAGAGCATATTGATTTTCTGGTTACGTAACATATTAATACTAAATCAGATCAAATCAGAATAAGAAATGTAAGAATAATAGTCAAGAAATCAGAAAAATTCATACATTATATCTTTCGACAAAATTATAAATTTATTCTGATGGATTAATTTTCAAAAATTTGTTTTCTGCAAAGCTAAATTTTATAGTACTAGCAAAAACAAAAATTTGTGTATAAAATAACTAAACCGTATATCTTTTTATAAATATCACCTGAAACGAAGCGGTATATTCAAAATGGGGTTGTAATTTTTAGAATAAAATTAAACTTTAGCATTTGAAATTTTATACTGAAAACGCGTCAACATAATATTGAATAATATTTCATTCATCTCAAATGATACATCCAACAGAATATGAGTGAATAAATATAATAAATAGTGAAATGTAATGAAAGCGACCAAAAAACAAAAATTAATTTTTTGCTTAAGAACTTAAGCTTAAATCATATACAATGTATAAAATTTTGATGTTTTTATACAATGAATTAAAAGAAAGTATTTTTTAATGATTTCAGAAAGTTAAAATTTTAAATTGACTAAAATAATTAAGTAATTAAGATCAATATTAATATAATTTTGATGTTTTTTAAACTTTGTTGTAATACAAAACAAAAAAAAACATGTTATGTTGTCAATTAATATTTAAATATTATAATTGTTCGTTCTTTTTTTCTAATATACACATTTTATTTTTTTGTTATTGATATTTGAAATTATGTAATTTAATTAAAAATTTATTTAAGTTATTTATTAACATATACACTTTTTATCATGTATGTTTTTTTTTATTATTATATTAGTTTATAAATATATTACATTTAATATAATATTTTTGTTTTTATTATATTTTTTCGAATTCTATTTACGAATAAAGTTTTAATTACATTCATTAAATTAACATATTATTATTTTTTTGCTTTTTTTTTTTGTAAATTTACATTGTGAAATTTTCAGTCCATAAAAGTTTATATTCGTAGTAACTGAACGAAATAATGATTTAATAAAATTTTTTTTAAATGTAAAGTACTTAAAAAAACTATAGGAATTAAGTTTGTTATTTTTGCTTTCATATTCAAAATTTTATGCATTTATTAGATTTACAAGTGACTTGTGTACCAAAAAACAAATTCTTCAAAAACATTTTAATCAGTAGTATGTCGTCAGTTATACGATATCAGGCGCTTGTTCGAAATTTAGTTTTTATAAAAATGAAAAAGTAAACCCATCAAATACAAGAACTTAAATCCTTCAAGAAGGTTTCAGATTTCTTGTATTTATTGCTTGTAAACTCCGAAACCGTTTTAAATTGAGTTTTAAAATTAAAGTAGTTTATAAAAATTTAATTTAATATTAAAGTAATTTAAACTTTACATTTAAAGTAAATTGCCATCACATAACTGACGATTAATAATTTTAAATAATTTTAAGAGAAGAATGATTTACAAAAACATAAGATATATATTAAAAATTTATGATTGAAATTTCAAGAAAAATTACTTTTTGTAAATACTTGAAGCATACATACAATTGTAATTAATTTAAATATTAAAATGTTTTGAAATTACATTTTACGTAAAAATTTTAGTAAAATTTTCTTGAAATTTTCTACCAAAATTTTATTGTTCTTAATATTCTGATTTTTAATTTTTTTTTATTTTATAAGAATATCTAAACATTCAAAATTTAGAATATGTTTTATTTATTGATTTTAAAAAATATTTTTTAGGAAATTTAGACATTGTTTTGAAAAAACACCAATATTTTATATATATATATTGATTTTAATATATTATTTATTGTTTTTGTTTTTGCCTCAAATATATTTTATATGCAATTTATTATGCTATTAATATAAAGTATTTAAATTTAAAACTAAGTATAATTTAAATACTTGAATATTTACAGTTACTTTCGTTCAAAAGGTATCCCCAGTATACCATGGATGAATCCATGGTGCAGAAGGTGGTGGAGTTGGTGGATAAATTGTTGGAGATGGTAAACCATGCCCTCCTTGTACAGCTGCTGCTGCTGCAGCTACGGCAGCCATGTGATATGGTGTTGCAGGCCCGGTCGGTGATGAAAAATGTGAATTATATAAAGAGGCTGCAGTTGCATTCGTAGCACTATTTGAAGAAGATGATGACGACGATGAAGATAACGATGCAGATGTTGTGTTAGATGTTGAAGAACTAGAATGATAGCCACTACTATTGCTATGATTATTATTTGTTCTGGAATTAATATTATGAATAGATTCTGTACTACCACCATAAATTGACGATGGTGTCGTTGAATCTGCATATATTGATCCGCCATGTCTTTCATTACTTGAACTTGAATTGCTAGTTATACCAGATCTGCTTATTGCATGAGATTGGTTCAATACTGTTTCCGCACTTAAACCGCTAAACATAGAAAAAAAGTCAGGAGTTGTGGATTTGTGACTTAAATTATTTAAAATATTAGGTGTTGAATTCGAAGAATTATTTGTATAGCGGCAAGATGACAGTCTATCAGAGTTACGTTCTTTGGAATTTTCTTGATTATTATTACAATTACTACTATGGTTACTGCTATTATTGCGCAATTGATTATTACTATTATTGCTACTGCTACTACTACTGCTACTAACACGATTGTTTTTATCTATATTAGAAGATGATGAGGAACTTTTATTTCCGGAATTTGAAGCCGATTGAGATGGTGTATTTAAAGCCGCTGCAGCAGCAGCAGCCGCAGCAGCTGCAGCTGCTGCCGGCGATGTCATCCAATCAAACGCAGTAAAAGGATTTCCACTCAAAGGTGGAGAAAGCATAGTTGATGCTGCTCCAGTTAAATTGTGCCCAGCTAAAAATGAACTTGCATATGGATTGTGATGATCAAAATATGTTTGCGCGGCTAGTGCTGCTGCTAATGCTGCCTTTTCACGTTCTTGTCTTGACAATGATGCTCCAATAGAAGATGATATAGATGCTGATGCAGAAGTAGTACTGTCTTTCGTAGCACTTTTACTTCCATTAGTGGAATTGTAATGATGATTGGTGTTATTACTGTCATTACTTGAACTATTTTTTGTCGCAGAAACAGATTGATGGTTTTGGGAGCACATCATATTGTCTAAATGATGACTTCCTCCTAGTAAATGATGATGATGTGCTCCCCACCCCAATTCCTAGCTTATTCGTGAACGTTTCTGTGGCGGTTGCTCTTGACTTCTCATCATATATCGTAGTTGTGGCATATACTTAATTACATCACGAACTAAAATTAATGGAATATTCTCGGAATGTGGTTTACCATTTTCTATTAATGTTTGAATTTGCCGCCTGTAATTAAAGTAATAGTGTTAGCTGTATATACTTGAAATTTTCGAAAATTATTTTGCATAAAATTTTATTAATCGAGAGTTCCACAATTAAGTGAAAATTTAAAATAGATTTTGGGAATTTATATAGATTCTTACCTATTTCCTTTATACATTTCAACTCCTAAAGCTTCAATTAAGCGCTTACAATGGTCCAATTGTACATTTGGAAAGAAATGTTCACGAAAATCGGCTAAAGTCATTAATTGATCCGTATCATTATATGCTTTCATATTTATACATGAAATCATAGTATTATCGAAAACTAAAACTTTCTGTACTTTATATGGTGGGGATTGAGTATTTGATGGTATCTCTGGTATTATCCTTAGCATTTGATTATGAGGATCAGTTGTCATTGCATTAACAGCAGCGCTCGCACGTTGTTGTTGTTGTTGTGCAAGTAATTGTTGTTGCAATGCAACAGTATTCGCAGCTGCCATAGCATTTTGCCTTACTTGCATTTGCAATTGATTATACGTTTGTTGTTGTTGTTGCTGCTGCCTTTGTTGCTGTTGCTGTTGTTGCGCTTGCAATTGGTTCGCTGTTGCCGGATTTAAAGACCTTCGAGAAGGAGGAGACAAATCAGTTACTTCCATTGTTCCATTTAATAAACTTGTAGAGGTATTGGTAGATAGTTGTAGTAATGATAGTTGTGATGCAGGAGAGAGCAAATCTTTACTTGTACTAGAATTGGTTGAACATATAACGCTCTTTTGCCTTGTTTGCGATACAGGATTAATTTGGGATTGGGATACTTTGGAATTATTAGGGTTTGCAAGAGATATGCTAATTTCTGGATTTTGAAAATATAAACCTTGGTTTCCACTACTTTTATTTGGGAAACTATGACTTTGATTATTAGTATTTATTTGAGGTGGCTTTGGCACCACTTTATTTGAATTATGTGAAGATATATTTTGTGTTATATAAGTGGACATAGCTGGATTAAGTAAAACTTTACGAACAAGTTCATCTAAATGAGAGTTTTGTAGCAAATGATCTACATTGCCATTATTATTGCTGTTTTTATTTGAATTATTATTATTGTTATTATCATTATTATTATTAATACATTTATTACTATAATAATTGTAATTGTTATTACCGTTATTATTATAATTTTTGTTAAAATTATTATAATTGCTATCATTGTTATGAAAACTATTATTTATACTATTAATATCACCATTGCTAACACTGCTAGTACTACTACTTGCACTGCTACTTCTACTATTGCCAGAACTATTATAATTAAGAACATAATTTTGATTATTTTGCCGCCTAACAGGAAGCAATGATGGTATATTATCTATTTTATTTTTATTTAAAATATTTCGTGAATTTTTATTATTTATATCATCATTGTTATAATTATTAATGCCGTTTACAGTGATGTTGTTATAAGCATAATGATGTTTCTGAAGTTGCGGTGTAATTGGTGGTGAAATTAAAGCAGGATTTTGATTTATTGTAGGTAATGAATTATTTTCACTAATATTATTAAAAGGAGTTGTAAGGGAAGGATTATTTTCATTAGGAATTTGGTTTATTGTATTTGTGGTAGCTGATAAAGAGCGTTGTAGAGTTGCCATACTAGTACTAGCAGTAGAATTCAACCTAGAAACATTATACAGCAAAATTGGAGATATGGTATTTTTTCTCAATTTGATATTTTTATTATTTATTTAATTTCAATAAACGATTATTTACAAAAAAAAAAGAAAAAAAATATCAAAACTATTGATATTTTAAACAATTTAACTTTTTTACATGTTGACCTATTAAATTTACTTTCCCGAATTTTCATTTTATATCTAAATATATAATGCATAAAAATATATACATATATGATTTTATATACATAATTTTATCCTTAATTATGTACAAAATTCAAGTTAGTGGAAAATTTACTTATGATTTTAAATTTTATTTAAATTGCATACGCATAATGAATCTAGGTACAAAAATAAATTAAAAGTACGAAAATTATAACATTTAATAGAATCTTACTAATTTTGAAATAAATCAAAATTGAAATTAAAGTAAGTGCAGCTCTAAAAAATTATATTATAAAAATTATTTTAAATGAAATATTTTGCTAGATTCCAAAGTTCTATTAAATATTCTTAAATTGTTGTGAATTTAATTTTTATTTATTTCATTTAGAACTTACATGGCAATAAGTAAAAACAACTTACATAATTTCAACTGAAATACATTCAAAAACTTTAAAATTGTTGGAAAAAATTTTATAGACTTTAATTAATGAAAGCACCTAGAATTTAGACTAAGATTTTTCTTAAAAATTTAATTGTGTTTCATTGAGTTTATTAGAGAATTTCTTTATTATTATTTTTTTTTTTGTTTTGTATTTTTGTATCATAAGAATTTTAAAATCATAGAACACTATTCCTAAAATATTGTTAAAAGCAGTGGTCGAAGTGGGATACTCAAACTAGTGGGATGGTAAAAAAAACAAATAAAAATAAAAAAAAAAGTATTGTTTTAGTTATTTTTTAAAAAAATAACTAAACAAAATTTACCAAACTTTGGAAGTAAACTAACGAGAATATTTATATTCAAAATTAAATCAACTAAAAATTGAATCAAAAACTGTGCAAATTGTTACCAAAGAAATGCATATACTACTATGTAGTAACGAAAATTTCACTAATAGAAAAAAATTATACGTTACTATTTGAAATTGGTCTTATTTAAAATTACATATATTTAATTTTTTGTTAAAAACTTTTTAAAATTCATTAGAAAATTTTCTTAAATTTTAAAAAATATGTTCCGGAACGCATTTTTCTCTCCTATTAAGTAGTAGAATGGATTTCCAATTATTTAAAAGTACTGGGATGGCATCCCACTCTATCCCGCCTCACTTCGAGCACTGGTTAAAAGTAAATTTTTTTAAAGAACGTTCTTTTTCTTTTTTATTAGACCACCTTTTTTACTGAATTGAAAATTAAAAATTAAAAATTGATTAAATATTTGTAAACGTATAATTTAAATAATAGTAAATATCTCAATATTACACAAGTCATGTTACATTTTGTAGTTTTTCTTTATTGCCACAGTTTTTTTTAAATTTTTTAAACAAATTTAATTACATTAACCGTGCAAGACAAATTAAAATACATTAATCGTACATATTAAATAAATGTATACAGATGACTTTTTACTAGAGCCCCCGTCATCTTTGTCACAAAAAAATTAGTGAAAAGGTAAATGAGTGAATGATAAACAACTGTTCATTTTATTTTAAATGATAAATTTCCAATGCACAATGACAACTATTTTTGATAATTCATTTTTGAACGATGACACAAAAAATGAATGATAGATTCACAAAAATGTGAATCATAAAAACAATGATGACAGGCCCCTTAATAAAAATAATTTTTTCAATATTTTATAAATTTGATTTTCGTACTTTTTTTTAATTACTTACAAAAACTACATAAAAACTAAAATAAAGAAAATATTATAGTGTTTTACATATAAAGTAGGAATAAATACAGAATAAAAGATTTTGTTGCAAAAGATGTAAAAAAATTCATGAAATAAAATAATGGTAAAATAAAAAAAATAATTATAACCAAAAATTGAAAAAAAAAAAACAATAAAACAAAAACGTACGATATTTTTAAATAAAGAAAAAGAAACGCATGCACAATTATCTTCTAATTGAAATTAAATAAAAAAAAAATTTCATGAACAAGTTGCAAAAAAAATAAATAAAATCGGTAAAGTAAATTTAACAACGCAAGGTAATTTTATAAATAATATAAGTAGTATTTTTTATATAATATGAAATTGAAATTTTAGGAGAGAGTAAAATAAATAAAATTAAATAACAAAAACAGAAATTTACAAAACTAAATTTACCATATCAAAATAAAAATTAAAAATATTAATCATAATATCAAAAAAAAAGAATTAAAAATATATTAACATAAAAATTACACAGCGATTGAAAATATTCAAAAATTGTTTGCCAAATATATACACATATAAATTTAAATTAAAAGCATAATAAAAAACGCTTTATAAATTTTTATATATTTATAAATAAAAGTAATATTAATTACTTAAAATAAGTAATTAATAATTTTTTCTTTATAAATAAAATTAAATTTTATTTACTCAACCGAATTTAATAAACAAACATTTTACTAAGCATATTATAAAAAATAAATTTTTGCTATTTTAAATACTTAATATTTTACAATTTAATATCTAATACAAATTTAATTATATTAAAAGCAAACTTAAAATAAAATTTCTTAAACTATATTAAATTATACGAAAAATAAAATTTTTAAATAGTTTAAAAATTAGATACAAATAAATAGAAAAATATTTATAAATATTTAATTACAGTTTAATTTATTTTTGGTAAATTAAAATTGTGATATATATACAAACAAAACAATTAGTGAATTTTATTATTTATATTATAATTTTTATAAAAGATGTGGTAAATTCAGTTAATTTATTGTGCGTTATATATAACTAAATATTATTTTCAAAGGCAACTCTACAAATTTAATTATATATATTTTTTAGTAATACCCTCCACAAAAATCCTTTTTGCTTAATGTTTTTTTTTTTTATACATGAACGGTTTTTACGAAAATCAGTTTTTATAATGTTTTATTTTTATTTTAAATTTCAATCTCTCTCTCCTAAACATCACCTAAACTTATAATAATAAATTTAATAATATAATTTTATTTTATTTATAAATTTATTAAATTTTATAGAATTCTCAATAAAATATTATATTATATTATTTAACATAAAAAAGTATAGATATTATTTAATAAAACTTACATATGAGATTGACTTTGTGATCTTACTAAAGGTGGTGGTTGTTGTTGTTGTGGATGTTGCATACCAGTCATTTGTAATCCGTTTGCATAATTATATTGTTGACGATTTGATAAAAGATTTTGCATTGTTTGATTTCGTCCAGCAGCATAACCTCTTTGATTTTGTTGCTGTTGTGCCTAAAATTTAAAAACAAAAATAAAATATTTCTTTTTTTGCTTTTTTTTTTAAATTTTTATAAAAACAAAACCTAATAATAGTAATATCTATGATAAAAGGAAAATAATAGTAATAAACTCTTTAAAAATTCTTACATATTATGATATTTTAATATTATTATAAATTTTTTTTTCACATTGGAACCTATATTTCTTTAAATTTTTTGGCTAAAATTAAAATAAACTTGAATTTATTTTCAAAAATCAAAAATTTAATATTTTGTTATATTTTTAAAAAAAAATTCTAAAATTTAAAGAAATATAAATCTTAATTAATAGTTATTAATTTTTTGAAGACGAATAAATATATGTAAGTATATGTTAGAAACAACATTACGTAATCATTATAATAATAGTTAATATGAAAATGGTGTTATAATAAAAATGAGAAAATCTAATATGAAATATTTATATTGAATAAAAAATTAATAATAATAATTCATATTAATAAAATTGATAATTCTGATGCAAAAGCATAATATTATGTTATAACAATTGAGTAGTTCAAAAATTTTTTCAGATAAGAAATCTAAAGCAGTTCATAACACATAATGTCATTAAATTTAATTAAATACAATAAGCTTCAAAAGACATTGTAAAAACTATTTAAAACTTTTGAATTTTATTAATAATATAACTTTTTTGTTTATTGATAACTTTAAAAGTGAATTTAATTACCTAACAAAAAATTCAAAAATACAAAAATTATTTTAACGCGCTAAAAATAAAGCTTATTATCTTCAATACATAATATTATGAAAAATGCTTCTACCTTAAAAACATAAGGTTTCAAATATTATACTTTTCTAATGTATGTTCATTATTATTTATTTCTTTCTTTATATAAATATTTTCTGCGCTACATACGCAAGCTGATTTTATTCTAATCAAAACAAACAAAATTCTAATATGGCTAACTATGCTTTATTGGAAATAACAAATTTTTTTTTCTAAAGTTATTTTTTTAATTTTTTGTTTCTAAAGATATTTGATTTCTTATATTTTAGTTCTAATTTTGAATTTTATCACATATTTTAAGCGTAAATTTTTCTTTATTTTTCGAATTTTTATTTTTTTGCTGCTTTCTTAAACTGTTTTTATGGATTATTAAATACATTAACAAATTAAAATAGATTATTAATTTATTGGACGATTTCTTTTGAAGCCCATTGTATGTAACATGAAATTTTCATCAACTAAATTAAAAAACTGCATTTAAGAACGGAAAGTCACCAATTTTTTACAAAAATTTGATCCAAAAATTTTATTTACTTTACTTATTTATTGTTATTTTTTTAATTTGCAATTTAATTAAAAATTAAAATTAATTATACTTATAAAATACAATGTTATTATTATTATAAAGATTATTAAAATTTTAAATTTATATTAAAAACAAATAAAATAAACAAATTTGATATTCTTTTATATACCTGCGCAGCCAGCAGCTGAGCGGTTTGTGCCTGTGATACTTGCGATAATAAGGCTGGATTAAGACCCCAACCATTTGTCAGTGCCTAAAATGAATTTTAAGCGAAATTAGAGTTTTTTTTTGTTTTTCTTTAACTTTTCTTATATGTACATAACTATAATGTCTAAAATTAAAATAAAAAATAGCAAAAATAAACAAGTACTTAAATCTTAAGTTTAATTCAGATATAATACAATATATTTTCAAAAATAAAATGTAAAAAAATAAAAAAAAATAAAGTATATCAAAATCAATTAAATTTGTACAGCAACTCTGCAAGTACTATTACTCCTTAAAAGTCGGAAAAAAGGAGAAATTGAATTAGACTATTTGAAAATTTAAGGATACTTAAAAATTTTATGGTTAGAATTAAATCAGAAGTGTTACGTATCCTTAAAAATAAAATAAAAATATTTTTAGAGACACAAACAAACCAAAGTTTTTTAATGAGAAAAAATTTGAAAATTTAAGCGCACAATATAATGAACAACGCAGCTTTGCCAAACAAAGCAATGAAAGAAACATTAAACATAATTTACATGGAAAGCAATTTAAAGCACAAAAAAAACAAGGAACAGGACAGAAGTTATAAAAACAAAATGTATCAATACAATTAAATGCAACAAAAATAATAAATAGAAATTCTATGAAAAAAAAAATAATTTTATAGCAAAGATAAAAGAAAAATATTTTTATTAATACTTTAATATAGTTATTACCTGTACTGCTGCTGCTGCAGTTTGTTGCGCTGCAAATGCTGTATTCAATCGCTGTTGTGTTGCCACTGAATTAGGATTTTGTAATGCTGCAGCATTTTGATAAGCTTTATTTCTTAATTGATTTGCAATATTATTTGCGTTTTGTGCTTGTTGTTGTTTTGCTAAATTTGGGATAACAGAAGGTTGTGTTATTTTTGGTGGTGGACCTGAAGGTTGTCTTGTCCAATTAACTGAATTGCCAGGATTTTTAGATGCAATTAATAAATTTGAATCAACAACTTTACTAGGCCAATAGTCTTCAAATTCAGTACCATTTGGAAAATAACTTTTAATATCTTTTAAACTAATTACAGCTACTGATTCACTTGAAAATAATTCATTTCGTATACCTTGAACCTTACAACAAAATTTTAAATATGCTAAATCCCATCCAGATAAACAATCTGCTTTTTGTCTTAAATTATCAGTTTCACCTTCAAAATAAAATAATGGTACAACTTGTTCATTATTTCGTACTGTGTATGGTACTACAGATTCCTTATTTATTCTAATAAAACCACAACGATCTGATGGACTTTTACTACCGGATAATAATTTACGATAACAAATATCTAAAAATTGATAAAATTTTGTAGCATCACTTAATCGTACCACTAAATCTTTTAATGTAAATAAATCTCGACCAAATTGCGCATCACAATGTTTGTGATTAATTTCATTTAATAAACGACTTTCAGCCTCTGTTATGAAGTAACTACGAACATATGTACAACTACTATAAATATCTGGATGCAAATAAGATAAATATTTATTTAGTAATTTCATTTCAACCATTCTAACAGCGCAATATTTCTCTCCCGATCTTGTTACATATGGTATATAAATTTTTCCAAATGTTGCCCATCCAAAATGTCCTTTTTGAGATTCTTCATCATTACAAACTTTTTTGTCTGGATCTGGACTTGCAGATGAGCTATTAGTTGAATTAACGTTACCACTATTTTCGGTTGATGATACTGTTGATGATTTTGAGCCATTTGATGCTGCTGACGCCGCCACTGTTGATGATGAGGTGGCACCATTCTGTTGACTACTCCCCAATCCTGATATATTTGGTGTAGTTGGTGTTCCTGATATATTAAATGGAATATTACCATTTTGTAATTGAGAATTCGGTGGTTTTCTTGTTAAATAATTTAATATATTAGTTTGATTACCAGGTAGTCCGGGTATATGCTGGCTTGATGATAAAGCAGCTGTTGCCATCTGTTGCCGGTTAACTAAAAAATTTATATAATATTGTACATAAATGCTGATGCAATAAATAAATGAAGTTTATATAACGAAGTTTTGTATATTAAATAATTTTTATTAAATATAACAGTTTTACATTTCTTTTCCTCGAAATTTTTTAGATATACTCGTAAATTAAAATGTTGGATTGAAAATATTTAAAGGGTTTAAATTTTTGTGGAATTGTTTTTGCAACTGCATGATTTAATATATTATATTTATATACTTTAATTGAATGTGTAAGACTCAGACACCTAACAATGTAGAATAATAAGTTTGCTAAAATACATTTCCGAATATCTGTATTTTTCCTGCAAAACTTGAGGACGACAAACTATTTGTATATAAATTTTATTTTCACATATATTTATATATAAACTCATAATTTTCGTTTTTCAACTTTTCTTTTGAATTTCTTGTGAAAGTTGAACATACTATCTTTTAATGAAGAAGATTTTAATAGCATCATCAAGTCACTAAACGGCTTCAATCTTTCACTTCGCCTCTAAAAAACGGACTATTATGAATATAGTACGAATATTAAGACAAAATTTATTTGAAATTGAGAAGTGTAATATGCTAAACCTGATTCAAATAACCTGAAAACATGCTAAATTTATTATAAATCAGTAAGTTTCGTTGCATGTTTTCAAATTTGAATAAGCTTAAATTTATTTAAGATTTACCAGCTACTTTTTTCAGTAGCAACTTTTTTTGTTTATTTGTTTTTTTTTATTTTCTTAATAGAAAAATGATAAATCGACAAGTATAAGTAATTACTTGTTTGTTCAAATAAGTACTTATTTGAGTTAAGAGGTTTGTTTGTTCACTTGTAAAGATTTTGTATGTTATTAAAATACTAAAATATTTTATAAATTTAATTAAAGTATTAAAATATTATCTATTAAAAAGTAGTTTAATTAATAATTTCAAAGAATTCCACTTTTTCGCTTTCAAGCAGCTTCTAGACCTTTTAAAAAATTTATTTTGTTTGAAAAATTTCTTTGTTCCTCTTTCCCCCTCTACGTTATGGCCTCAAGAATTTCTAAAAAAAATTCAATTATTTATTTGCAGAATGAGTCCATTTTTTCTTTATAGTTAACTTTTTTTTTATTATTTATTTTAAAGCTATTCATTTGAACCCACTTTATCCGAAACTCAAAATATTTCAAGTGCGTATTTTTCAACAAGCTCAACTCATTAATCAAATTATTAAATAAAACAATCTAATTTTTAAGGGAATAATTTTAATTAAGAATAATAAACAGAAGTAACGCTTTGCCAAATGGTACTGAGTTCTTTACCATTGGTGTTAAACGTAATACTTATAAAAAATGCAATTAGTCAATTACAATAATACAGTTTTAAAAAACCAGTACACTAAGTCCATCATCATATACGACATCTTCTAATACGATATTCGAGTTACGACATGGTATAAATTTGAACCATTTTTATTCGGCTTGCAACATTAATCCCTGGACCCTGATACAACATTAAAAATTATTAATTTTTTTGACAGATTTTACTGATTTTTGAATAAAAATCGATACCGATTTTTGTTGTAAGGCATGTCTAAAGCGCATACTTCAATAATGAACTCTTTTTAGTTAAAAATACTAGTCAGTAGTTGAAAATACGAATTGAAGTGATATATACATGTATGTCAACTTAATCAGATTTTATTTGATTTATTTTTGTTTCAAATTTGAATTTTTTTGGTTTTTTTATTACTTATATTTTGTTATTATTTTAAACTTTGTTACCTTTTTTAAAAAAACAGGTGAGTTATAACATATATAAAAATAGTTGTAATACTTATATTATAAAATAGTTTGTCTAATTCACTTTTGGTTTCCATACATTTTTTTCCTCCTCAAACGACTATAAGAGTTACGACATAAATTTCTGGAACCAAAAATGTCGTATGGCGAGGACTTATAGTGTATAATTTACTTAATCTTTTATTTTTCTGTTAGTTATCATTTGAGTTGGATGAATATGTACATTGTATGAATATGTACATTTATGTTTTTTGTAATGAGAGAGTAATGAAAATTTATGAGAAATTGAGGTTCTCATGTCAAGGTGTAGTTATAGTGTTATAAGCAATATACATCATAATAATCTAAATGCGTTTTCAATTAGACGTACATATATTTCTTTTCAAGAGACAAGTGCAAAGAGTGTAAATCATGCATATATTATGAAGTTAAATAGGGATTGCAGAAAATGAACATGCCACATGGGTTATGTTTACAAATTTTGTGCTAATTGCGAAGCTATTTATATATATAAATATATATACTTATATATATAAATATATATATATATATATATGTATATATACATATATGTTATGTACGTATTTGTATTTATTTACATAATATACACGATAATCAATAACGCCTCATGAATACATGACCTAACCATGTTAACATACCCAACAAAATTACTACATGACCCCACCACCTCTTTGTTCTTATTTGAAATTTCTTTAACTACTTACTTATATCATGCAATATATTTATAGCGTATCTATTTATCTTTACCACAAGAACTTTTTCAAGATAATCTAATATTCAGTTTCACAAATTTCTTGTATAAGCATTATCTGTCTTTTATATGTAATTTAGTTGGTAAAACATGTGTTTATCTCCAAATATTAATTTTCAATTAACATTTGGAAATAATTTTTAATATTAACTTATGATAAATGAAAACAGTAGACCTACGCCTAAAAGTCGCTGCAGTTACCTTTGCAATTCCACTAAGGTTTGTAAGTTTTTTTCTTAAAATTTTTATTATTAAAAAATGACATCTGAGATATGTAGTTTCCTATTTTGGTAATAGTTGAACTTTATGTAACTTACTATTTACATTTACGACAAAATCTAAGATTTAATTTGGGTCTAATGAAAATCGTATACGTAAACCTTGTTTGATATCAAACATTTTGTGACGCCAAAATAAAGGAATCATTATCAGGTTTAATGTCAGGTTTTTAAAAGTAAAATGGCGACAAATTAATTTTTAAGAAAGTCTTAAAAAGCTATCAACTGATTTTTATATTTTGGTTATAATTTTTTACATTTTGACGTTAAATAAACCCCAATTATTCAAAATGTACTAATAAAATATTCGAATATTTTATTAGTAAACAGAGGAGTGAAAGTTCTTAGATTTGTTAATGCATCTTGAATTAATAATTATCTTAGTAAAAATTTACTCTTATGTTGTATCTTACTTTATTAATTATAAATTTTTAGTAATTCTTTTTAATTTCTTAAAAAGTTTTTACTCAGATCAGTTATTCTGCTCAGTAATAAAGTATATTAAATTATTTAGAACGGCAAATAACAGCATTTATTTCGAACAAGACTAGGTTCGGCCTTAAGTCAATTTTATTCAAATTGAAATTCTCCCAAAAAAACAAATCAAATTAATAAACTAAAAAAAGGAGTGTATATTTACTCAATGCCGCTTAACACGTTGAACGCCCAGCGTAAATCAATGAAGTTTCTCCCGGGCTCAAATCAGGTTGTGTAAATAGCACGATATGGAAGGGCGGCACAATGCAACGCGTCGTTTAAATCTACTCATAGTGTTACCTATTTACGGACGATGGCGTCCCTTTGAAAACATATCCATAGACGTGGTGTTCAACTTCAAATTATTATATATAGATTCTTGGGCGAATTGTTCTTCGCATATTTAAAGTAAAATTTTCAAAAGTTTATAATTATTTACAATATATATGCAATTATTCCAATTCAACAACCTTGCCAACGAGCTTGGGAGGAGTAGATCTTTTGGGCCGCTGTGCATCATCGTTTCAACTTAAAAGCCAATGGAATTGTTAAAAAACTTAGAATTTAAAATCCAAGTTTCTTACTTATAGCTTCCAACTTACAAGAGTAAATTATGGATAAATGTTATGTAGTACAAAGAATAGGTAAAATCAGTATCAATTACTGTTCAAAATTTATAGTTCTGCTAACTTATTGGACAATTTTTCTGCAATATTTTACATACAAAATTTGGATTACAAAATTATTAACTTAATTATTATAATACTTTTAAAATTGGGGTTGGATCAATTTCAACCAGTACAAGTATTGAAAATCTGATGTGATCAGCACATAACCGACCGCATTGTGTATTGTTTAGTTAAATGAAAGTGTTACAGAATATTATAAAAATGTCTGTTAAATACTTCTTTCCAAATTTTTAGGACATTAGTAAGCTTATAGTTTCGGTAGTTAGTTTCGGTAACAACTAGAACTCAAATATCAAATTTCAAGAAATTCCATCAATTCGTTCCGTAGATATGGTGAAAAATGTAAAATCGGCCCGCAGATCAGTTTTCGAGTCCTGATCTTTCCAAAAAATTTATATGTTCATTGTTTTAATACGAGGAATTCAAATATTAAATTTCAATGAAATCGGTTGATTATTTCTCTTTATATACACAAAAATATATATTTGGCCCGTAGTAAACGTCCAGTTGCTGATGCCTGTTTGCTAAGCTTATATACAAAATCTTAAGTAAATCGGTTGAATATTTTCTTCAAAATGTTCAAAAATGTAAAACAGGCCCGCTAAAAAGTGCAGTTCCCGAGGCCTGATATATACCAAAATTTGATCAATCCGTGCCATGGTGGAAATAAACTTACATATAAAATTTCATCAAAATCGGTTCAGCCGAACTTGAGATACACGCGTGCACACACAGACCGACAAACCGACAGGTTGCTAAAAATAGTTTATTTACACTTCCCTACTATGGAGAAGTACGTTCCCACCGAAAACTCGATATGCAAAATTTGTTGCCATCACATAACCTACCTATTGTTTATACAATACGGTCGGTAAAAATGGGTTGGATTATTATCAATTTCGAAAGTTTTTTTTTCAAATTTTATCTGAAACCTCACATCATATAAACTTGTTTAAAAGAAATCAACGAAATATGTAAATAAATAATTTGGAACTCTTTACAAGGAGTTCATTAATATAGTCTAATAGTAGATCATGAATTTATATACGTTTTGCCATTATAATAGTTTTAAATTTAAGATCTTCATCCAGCAAGAAGATGAAAATCCAGCAAATTGAATTTTTATAATACTTTCTACTGTAATGATTCTAACATTTGACAAGAACAAAGTTTTGGAATCGCCTAAAATTTATTTTAAATCAAAATCAAATGCAACGACACTGGATCTTCAAATAAAAACCAAGTTTTATTGGAATGTACGATTTGACAAAAACTGATTTTACGCAATACAGACAGTATAATATTGTGTAAACATTTTTTAAAATACAATAACTTAAGCTGGATTCATTGATTTGTCGTTTTTGAGCTGAGCTATTTGTAGTCAAACTATTTCTTCTCTTGATTGTTCATTGGTTCGTTTGAAAAAAGCTGATCGTTTTTTTTTATTATGATGCATTTATTACTTTTTTGACAAGAATTAAAGTTAAAATTAATTCAATTTCTGAGAGAAAAAAAAACAGTTCTAAAAACAAAGAGAATGTCAAAAATTCAAATTTTCATACAAAATACATCAGCTCGTCGCAAAAGCGATGAACCAGTGAAAACAGCCTAAGAACGGAACGTGATATTTTTATTTTTATAACACGGACCCTGCATATGATTTGGATGTTATTAATTTGCTATCATGGCAATAAAGCCATATTTTTTACAAATTATTGTGTAGTTAGATATATAGTTGATTTTAAAATGTTTGAGCAACGACTCCTTAATACTGTTTCAATCATTGTCAGTTTTAAAATCTTACAACTTTATATATTGGAGAGCGAGAAGTTAAATTTTGTTAAAAAAAGCTTTTGAAATAGCATGCAGCCTGATAAATTAAATGAAGCACATCAGTATACACTATTTTTTTTTTTCAATAAAAATGCCTCTACCTACTTAATATAATTTTTTTTTTTAAATTTCTATTATAATTTTAAATATCCATATTTTCATATTATTTTTTTTCTCTTATATTTAAATGGCCTTTTTTTTTATTTGGTTAAAATGTAAAAATTTTAATCCTCAAAAATTTAATAAATACCTATGTTTGTATGTACATATGTATATATGTAGGTATTTATTTATCAAAACACACTTCTAAACATAAGAACATTTTTATGTAAAAAAATACACCCAAACATTCACTCATACCACGAGTATACATTCTTAGTATACCTACACAATTAATTTATAAACATAAAATAAATAAATATTTCTGAGTGTATATAAGCATTCATTAATATTCTTAATTAATAAACAAAAGTAATAAGAGGCCCCTTTAATTTCGATTTAGGTAAAACAAGAAAAAAAGATGTAGTAATAAAAATAAAAAATAAACGAAAATCAAAAATTACTTTGTTCGTAGAATCAATAAACATACCACATACATATACATATATGAATGTTATATGAATGTTTGTATATAGCAAAACAAGGTGAATATAATATAAGAAAACACATAATAATGCATGTATGTATGTATGCATAAGAAATATATTTCTTAGCATATACATATTTCTTATGTATTAGTCCTTTAATATACTTAATTCATAGTTATACAAAGTGTACATACATATGTATGTATATATATAAATGTATTTTTGTAAGATTATATGTATGTATGATTTAGTATATTATATGTATCTACCATTGGATACATACACATTTATGTATTCATTCGTATATAAAATAATGTATTTAGATGTATGTATATAGCTATGTATGTATCCATTGAATGAGTGTGTACCTACTTATTAAAAATTTTTTAAAAGAGGCCCCGTTTAAATGATTCGCCTCGCTAAAGATTGTCTACAAAATTAAATTTGAGGTTACAATTTTGCTTTTTTTTTCTTTTTGGTAGAAGCTTTATAGAGCACGACCATTTTTTTTCCAATTCAAATATGTAGTATTCATGTTCGTTCATGTTCCTTTCTAATAAGTTACAAAAAAAAAATAAGAATAACTTTTTTGTACACACTTCCATATCCACTTATACATATGTATATTTATATGTACATATATATTAAATACAAAAATAAAATTTAGAAAGTTTAATGGAAAATAAGCAGTTTTTATCGACTAAATTATGTATAAACATACAACGAACGTACATATTATTTACATAACCGTAATGTAAATATAAAAGATCTACTTTACCTTTATATCCTTTTATTCAGCTTGAAATTTTTTTTTGAGTTAAAATATTTAAAAAATATTAAATATAAAATTTCTTATTAAAAAACAAAAAAGTCTTCTATCAAACACAATTAACAAAATAAGCTTGCCGAAGTGTTTACTTGATAGTACGCACTTAGTTAGTATGTACCTATGTACCTAAAAATGCTCTGTCAAATTAAAGAAGGAAAGAAGAACTTACCAATTTGTTGTTGTTGAGCAACTTGTTTTGCTAATGCTAATCTTTGTTGTTCAAGCATTTTAGCAGCCATTTCAGCAATTTCAGCTTCATCATGTCGTTCTTGTTTAATAGTAGTATTACTACTGCTATTACCATTGTTAATATTTCCAATTGATGTTGTACTATTTCCATTAGAATTATTTCCATTATTACTAGTATTATTATTACTATTATTATTTAATGTTGTTGATGATGACGATGATGAAGGTATTGATGATAGCGTTGTACCTGGTGGTAATTGATGGCCATCAGCTCCTGTTACTGATGTTATTGTCAGAGTAGGAACTGCTAGTGCCGAAGACATAATTCTTAATTATATTATGTTTTTGTTTTTTTTTTTTATCTTAGATTTTAATTAATAATTATTCCAATTTGCTTTCTTTTATTATTGATAATTTTGTTTTACATATATTTTAAATTTCCGCTTTTGACAGATAAATTTTGGTTAACTTTGATTACACAAAAATAATTAAATTATTCCATAATTTTATTTGAGAAAAAAAATTCTTTTATGTATATAAAAAACTAATTTTATTTTTATTTATTTATAAACACTCATGAAAATTTTTCTATCCATGGTGAAAAATTTTCAATTTGGATTCTTAAACTTATGTTGTTGGTATTATTTTGAAGTTGACGTTTTATTTTGATAATTTACACCTTTTTTTTTTATCACAATAAAATTTCATTTAAATTTAAGGTTATGTTAATTGTTATATGAATTATATTCATATATTTATTTTGTATACCATTAAATAGACATAAAATTTTGTATATTAACATACATTCATACGGTATTCTCGTTCAATTATGAACAAATTGTTTTAGATAAAAATTGTTTACAATCATAAAAATTAAAATTAACAATAACCACTACGTAATGAACAATTCATTATTCATTTTGTTTTTAACATATTAATTACTGGAAAAATAATTCGTATCTAATTTATTTTTAATTCTAGATCGTCCATAATTTTTTTAATTTAAATTTGTTTTGTAAATTTTTTAAAGACCATAGATAGCTTTTGTGGGATGATAGTTGAGCTATTTTTACTAAGAATTATTTTAAACTATGTAGTTAATTTGTTTTTGTAATACTAGAAGAAAAATTAGTAGATAATAGATTACTTAAATTCTACATAAAAATAAAAATTAGCATAAATAAATTCAAAATATTTTATTTATAATACTTCAAAAAATTTTCTTTATATTTTATATTATTTTATTTTCAGACCGCTATATTGCGCCCCGAATTTTCATTAACACCAACGAGATAGACCGATTTTCACACACTAAAAAAACAAAGTACAAATGCATTATCTCGAAGTCCCCTTTGAAAGCAAAAAAAAATACATACGTATGTATGTATATAAAACAAAATAAAAAATATAAATATATAAAAGAAAAATGAAAACATAAAAACAAACAAGAGAAAAAGAATTGTTTGTGTGAACTTTTATTTTGTTCATACACATTTTTATGTACATATTATATAAAAATTTCATTAAACTACTACATTGAAAAGGGAACATATAATATCTATATGTAAAATAATATGTTTACTTTGCAGCCGTTTCGCACACTATTAATGTCTATATAGTAAAGTAAAAAATCCCGTTTCACAGAAATTTCAATAAAATTTATGACATTAATACATATGTACCACATCAATAGTATTGAACAACCAAAGTTGTTCTCAAAATTTCTGTTACATAGTTTAGTTTTATTACAAGACTTTACAGAAAGTAGAGAACATATTGTATTTTATAACATAGGTGTGTAAAAATATAGAGTAAATTTCTAAGTCTAATATTCGCCTATTATTTGTCATTCAAAATTCAAGAATATTTGCAAAATTTACGAATAAGTTTTATAATATAATAATATGTATGTCATAATTAATGAATCGATCCATAGAAATTATATATTTGATTTCCGAAATAGAAATATATACATTACATGAAATACTACACATTGACAAATACACGTGTCAGTCATATTTTACAGGCCCAGCCATTGATGTAGTTAAAAGAGCTCAATTAAAGTCACTCACACATATTTTCGTGAAAGTCATGAGATAGTTTTATTACTTGATTTGTGTACTTATATTAATGTAAAAAAGTATTAAATTATTCTAAATACTTTATTAACAAAATAAAAAATTAATGAATTTATAAAATTAAGTTTTCTTAAAAAGTGTCAATTCTTCTGAATACAAACATGCAAAGTTAATCATTTAAAAAAATGTATTATTTAATTAACAATTTTTGAAACCCATACAAAAATTAAAAGTATAAGTACACACCAAAATTTTTTTATGTCCTACTAATTATCATGTGTAAACTCTATATAATTATAAGGCTTTGTTTACATTTCCCTCTATATTCATAAATACGAACGGAATCAAACACCGAAACTAAAAACGAACACATCTACAAATTATGTCTCAATATTATTTCTTGCATGTCGTAACACTACTATAAAATTTTATTTCAAAACACATTCATACATATTTACTATGTATATATGAAATTACGATTTTTTCTTTCAAAAAATACGTCAAAGTTGCAGAAAAGATATTTATGTTACTTATATAATTACATACATATATCATATGTATATGTATAATATGCTGAGCAGGGAGCACACACATTCATGTAAATATTAATTTACAGTGGGGTAAATAATCTTATTTAGATATTTTGATTTTTTTTACATTTATTTGGAATGTGTATTGTAATAAAGTAAAAAACTGTGTTTTTCTTTACAATAATTACTTACGCACAAACATGCATGCATACTATCTTGCAGTAAATCACATGGTTAGTATTTAACTGTTTTATGTATGTACGTACATATGCACCTATGTTCATACTCATGTACATAAACCATTTACTAGATTTCATACTTACTTTCATTCTTGGATTACTATTTTTAATTTAATTTAAATGTGTTGGTATTGTTAATTTTACTGTTGTTTTTGTTTAATTTTTGATAAAATAACATCAACGACAAAATGCAAAGTAATTGATGATGAAGAATAAGAGAAATTTATTTTAAATCAGATACTATTTGGCTTCGTTTAGCATTTTATCAAAAAAAAAATATAAGTATGTACATATGTATATTATGTATGCATGCCTTTGCAATTAGGACAACATATTGAAATTTCCTTTAAGTTTCAAAGCATGATTGGGTTGGAAACCTTTTTCATAAATATTAACAAATACATTATGCAAGTATGTATGTATGTATATAGTACGTTTGTACATACACGTTGTGCGTTTGTATATATGTACATGTGAATTTCAAAAAGAAGGAAAATATTTTCTAGCGGAGCTTCTTCTAAAAATATAAACGGTACTTAATTAGGTGTACATACATAAGTATGTATGCAATTTTGTATGTACATAAGTACATAGTGTAGTTTTCTGTATCTACATCTACAATATACTGTATGTATGTACATATGTGCGTATGTATTAGGTATTTGTAGAAAATTATTTATATTTATAAACTAAATTTGAAATTTCAAAAAATAATTTTGAAAATTTTAAAAGAAAAAATATCTGAATATATACATAGCTTTATATACAGATTTATGAGTAATATATGTATGTATATCATGTTCACACATAAAATCTGCATAATTTAATATGTATCTACATAATGCAAACGAAAATACACAGCAATATAATCGAACATATTTCAATATGCAGTATATACTTATGTATGTACATATAAAACTTATTTTTTTGCATATTATACGTCCAAATATTCATATACAGTAGGTACATATTTATGTCTGCAAACATTATGTATGTATGTATATTAAATTGGAGTACAAAAACAAAAATATTTTCTATATAAATACATAATATGTACATATGTATGTACACATATAATTTTTCCAGAGTCTTGTCTTTCCTTGAGATAATCTAATGCAAGGCCCTCTAGACTTCGTCCATTTTATATTTTCTTATTAAAATACAATACAAAATTTTTGACGTTGAATAAGGTATAATATATCGCTCAGCTTGCTATGAAAAAACTACGTAAGGAAAAAAACTAATTTTTTTTTATAAATACATAATACAGTATGGATGTATGTACATACTTATGTAAGTTTATACATTATATGGTTATTTATTACAATTAACATACATATTACAATGATGCACATATACATAAGTACATACATTGTTCGCAAATATACTTGCACATAAATATGGGCTTATGAGCATTATATATCTACATACATATTCATTTAGGTAACTATACTCCACTCAGGCAATCATCCATATATACATATGTATCTATATCTTAAGTACATTTTAAAATATAATTTGTATGCATTATTGAACACATTATTTTGGTTTATAAAGTATATACTACATAGAGTCATTGGTAGCATGTATGAATATATGTGCACATGCAGATAAGTTTGGACGCACGAATGAAAGCGAATTAATTCGTAATAAATTATACAAATGGAATAAAATATTTTGGAAATTCTTATGTTCATAAATACGTATGTATGTATGTATGTACAGAAATAAAATAAAATAATTAGAGATACATGTTCATATATTTATACATATGTGAGTACCTAAATACAAATATTTTATCTAAATATAAATATGCATGCATTTATTCATTTTTACATACATTTTTTGAATAAAATAAGAAATGTAATTTCTACATAAAAATGTATGTATGTACTCGTATGTGTTCATATGGGCCCCCAAGCAATATATTCATTCATTATAAATAAAATCATACATTCATATGTACATATGAAAATATGTATATACACACATAATATGTAGAAATCAGTTAAATGTGTATATATGTATTTATGTATGAATGCATACGCCCATATGTATATTAAAATATTAGATGTAGGAGTTTAGAACCAAAATTCAACTGTTATATTGAACATGATACAACAAATATTTTAATGATAAATAAAAAATAATTGTAAGCGGTCCTTAAGATTCTTGCCTTAATGCATTGTCAAATTTTAGTACTTTTCTCTTTCAGACTTTTTTAGTAAGTTATATACTTGACACTGATCAATAGGTAAATTTAAAAATTCAATAATGTCATTATATCAAAAGTTTAAAATTCAAAATTGTGGTAAGTTTCATATTATGGCGCTTAGGTTAAGAACGATTGGTTCACAGTTAAAAAAATTCTGCCTGAATAATGTAGCAAAGAAGTCTTTAAATTTACATACATATAGGCATTGGTTTCTAACAGTTTAAATTCTCATTAACCCGAAAAAATAAAAATTTAGAACAAATTATAGGAAAGTATACATTGTATACGTAACTTTGTTTCATTATATAAAACAAATAAAAAAGTATGAATATTTTTCATTATTTTGAACCATTTACCACTCTTACCATTGAATTTTTAACCATTTCCGTTGTATCAAAACGAAGTATCAAAATACAGCCATATATGTATATAATGTATATCAATGCATACATACATACATTTATTATAAAGGAGTTTTTATTAAAATAAAAACCCAAATAAATTTTAAAGAACCAATTTTTTTTTTTTTTGAAGAATCATTATTAAAATTTCGATATTAAATTTAACCCATTTTGATGTAAAA